CTAATCAAACAACTTGTGGGGTAAGAAACCAAGATTAACGCGCATGTTATCAAAACTATAGGATCAAGGTTTCAAACTATATACTGCTATTTGATTTAGGTTTATTTTTTTGGAAAACATAACATTTCCTTACATGAGCAACATCAATTTGTAAAGAGTGCGATAAGTGGACGGCAATAACTTGTATTCTGTTCTTATTCGTACCATGTTACGAGCAGCTAATGATACTAATGATCCAACCTCTATAGTAGCAGTAGAGTACCAACCAGTAATTTGGCGACTGGAATTCCAGTACCAAAACCAGCGAAATACAGTTTAAGCGAAATCTCGAGTTAGGCAGAAGTGATGAAAACGAATTTAAGGACTGCTTCGAACCAACACTTAGTTTAAAAAAAGTACAACGAAGTAGTTAAACCCACAGATCACTCAAACTATTCGAGAAGTTGCGTTAACTTTGATAGCCACGTCACTGAAACGATCCCAGCATATATACAGAAGATTGGCATTTTGTTTGTCAATCTACATCATTAAACTATCCATTAATCTATCCAATTTGATGGGAAATTCTATACTTTCGATGGCTATATATTCCTACCAACTTACATGACAATGGCAGAGAAATAAGGAGGTTGAAATCAACTACAACACATTAGTTCACATTTACCTGTGCATAATGAATCAGAAAATATGTAGTTCTCCTAGTATGGAGCTCCTCCTTATCAGAGCATACCACAATCTCACAAGTTAGACCCAGGACCATCAGGTCCGCGACAAGCCCCTAAGCTTTAGATCCCCGAGTCATAACCAAATGGTTTACACTTATAACCTTAGTCAACTCGTGATATTATGTAATCAGAATCAAACGCCACATGCTGGGTTAATATCTCACTATCTAAATGGTTGAACTCAGTTGTTCATGGCTTTTCACTAGAACCCTGGAAACAGCCTCTAGAAATCGGTTACTAGTAAGCATAGTTATTACCAGTATATGTATATATATATATATATATATATATATATATATATATATATACTATTTATTGCTCACTGTACGGTTATCTGCTGATTTATAAGCAAATATATTTCAACTGAGTGGATCATAGTCAACTACTAAAGGATAGTATGGAAGGCAAATGTTGATTCATTATATAAAAAGACATATACATAGAGAAAAATTGTATGTCGATTATTTGCCACATATAAGTTTCTGTATTCGGGCATTGGGCCACATTTTAGATGTAGATGTCCAAGTCGAAGTAGGTGAATTAGAGTTTGAACCATTAAAACCAAAATTGTTCTCAATAACCTCTGCTAAATCTAACAACTTGTTTACTAAAAGATCTGAACATATGCAGTTTGAATCAATGATGGAAATAACAGTTTTGATGGAATTTATTTCTCCGAGCTAAATAGTTTATTTGTGAAGCTTTCATTGTCCTTCTGCACAACATCGCCAGCGCAAAAATCAGGTAGAAGGTGATTATTCATCCATATTTTCCCACATATAACTCAAAGTTTGTACTTTTGATCAGTCAAGATCCAAATCAACAAAATAGTTTGTCAGTTATATGAAGGGAAATGAGAATAGCTTACTTCTATTTGAGATCTGTGCTAATTTTGTTCAGGACGACGATAAAAGCTTCACAATTAAACTACCCAGCTAAGAGAACAAAACTCTATACTAAAACCATCAACCTGAGCTGCAACTGCTCTCCACTATCTTCAACAGAAACATTGTGCCCCGAACGACTGATTTATAAGGTTTCAAAAAGTAGCCAATGAATTTTAATTTGTCATGAGAACTATTTTGTAATATTATACAAGATTACAACAAAATTGTCATTTGTTAAAAAAAAAGATGAAAACTATCCTTAATCATTTGCATAATACACTTGCTAATCAATGAATTCTAATGAATCACATAGAAAAATGTAGCACTTTTCACACATGTGATAGCTATAGAGATTTGATTTTTTTTTTCACTGACACTCAAACAAATCATACTCAGATACGTGATTAATTCGAAATTTATACCACTTTTAATTGCGGCTTTTTTTTCTTTCTTAAACATAAAAACGGATTAACATATATGTATATGGTGAATTAAGTTTCAATTACATGATTACAGTAGCCTTATCAACTGTATTACAGATATATATGTATCATATATTAAATAGTAAGTATCTTAGATACCATAATGTATGAGTTTATCATTTGTAAAATCAACAAGTATACAAGAAAACTAATAAAAGAATTAGTTTATTAAAGAGTTAATCATGTGGGTGATTAGTTCAATATTGTAAAGCATTTAAGACCATTTATCTTAAATAGAGAAGATTTATTAATTTGTTTGAAAACTATCGATCGTGTATAACTGAACAATGAAGTGAATAGTATTAAAGTTATAGTGTGAACATAGTGTAAACAAATTGAATAGGTTATGAATATCCATCAATTGAAATGGTCGTGAATATATGCTACATACATTGCTACATACCTTGACGTGGTGGTCGGGTTTGTCTATCGTGATGAACCAACCGAGCTATGCTCGCTGGAACAATCGTTCCTCGATGTCCTACCATGCCAGACAGGTCGGTTGAAGAGTGGTATGACTAAAAGCAGCAATCCCAAGGTTAGAAGGCGAAGTCGTACTGCCGGCTGTACAGAGGTGTGACAGCAGTAAGCTGTTTCCCTCAGACAACCAGGATAACAGCGATGATTGTTATGTAGTAGCAAAGACATAAGTACGGGTAACTTGCAGGACCTACTATTGGACTATCATTCTTATTGTATAACTATTCGGTAACTAGATTATCTAAGCTTTATTTTGACCTATTGATTACTACTATATGATTTACTGTCCCTATGTTATACTCAGTTTTATTGATTATTGTCTCCCACGCTTACAGCCTCATTTGGCCTGGTTTTGTACAAATATTATTTTCTATTTTATGGTGTGGTCTGCCTGTCTGGTATATAGATAAAGTATGTTTGAAATAAACGATTCGCATTACAGCAGCTGCTATTGGTGTTTTGGACTCAAGTGGACGGGTTAGGCGGATAAGGACCAATAAGGACGCTAGATTACTCATACTAATCGAACGTCATTGTCATAGTGTGAAGGTCGTAGAAGTCGTATTCTATTGGTGGATAATTTACGCGAATTACGTCCTTGTTAAATTCGTAAGGTCATAACGAATCAGCGACGACCTTGATCGAGTCATAACAATTGGCTACCGCCTAGGTCAAAAACATAACAAATTGGCGGCGGCTAGGTCAAGTCATAACAATGATGCCTTCCCACAAGGAGGGGTGGGGTTAGAAAAGGTCGACCCTAAAAATGCACACTTCGCCTTATCCCACGGATTTCCGTCTCCGGCGGTAAGGTCCTTTGAAGAACGGAGTTAACACATCAAAAATCCCCCACAAAAAGACCGTGCGTGACCGGCCTCTAGAAGAACCTTTTCACGGCGTGGGCAGCCTAGAAGTGATATTAGCTCTTATACCCGTAACTGCACACGAGACCAAGTTGGTCACATTCAAATCCTTCACTGGCTAATGTTAGAGTGATAATCCTGATTAACGGTTGGAAAGATAAGGGACTCAAAATTAATTCTAGTTGCTCAGATACATTTTATGCTTTATCTAATTTTAAATCTTTAGCCTTGATATTACATCATACTAACAATTCTCTAGTTTTATTCATTCTCTTGGAATGACATCTTTTTGTATTAAGTTACTTTTATCATAGTGAATATTGCAATTTCTATTTGCCTTGGTGAGATGATGTGACAACTTTACTTAATGTCAACTCAACGACGCGTTGATCTTCAGTGATCCCTAGGATACATAAAAGAAGGATTTTATAAAACATTATAGGACGGAATTTTTTGTGTATGAAAACTTAGATGACCTTTGTAAGCGCCTTGCACAATATTTACCAAAACAATACCACGAATATAATTCCTTTTACAAAAACATGGTCATATGTCGATCGCAAAGGTTGATAAACATTTATCTTTAACAGAGATTCAACAATGAACGATTAAAAGTACTGATGACTCATTCATTCGATCACTTCCTAAATACTGAATAATGTACTACGCTTTGGGGCATACTTCTATATGTATGTATATGATAGCTAATGATACTATCAGGCTTACTGTACCGCACTGTACCACACAAATCGAATGAGATTTGTGAGGCGCATATCTATCTGGTGCTTTCTTGTACCAATATTTATGTGTTTAAATAAATAAATAAATAAATAAAGTGTACCGCAGTAGCTGTAAAATTGTCTTAGTGGTTAGGACGTCCAAGTTTTAGTCATTGTGTTCCAGGTTCAAAACCTTCCCCACAAATACTAGTTTGAGCAAACGAGTAGTATCACTAAACTGTACACTCTGAGTGTGACTCATAACCAAGTACTTGTAATTATAATAGCTGAAATGGGGTTCAAATTTATGACATACAGATTAAAAACCGAGGATAGCATGATACAGAATCGGTTACAATCACATAGGTCGCATCTACTATTTGTCTCCCCTTAGATCTTGAGTCTTAAAACTATCTTATGCTTGTTATTTCACGAACCTAATCATTTTTACCACCACTGATACTGCAACTGTTACAATTATTCTGGCATTTTTTCTTGTTTTGCTGATATGATGTAGCTTCCATAAACCGATTCATGTATAAGATACGTTAGGCTCTACGCCACTTATGTCTAGCTAATTAAAACCATTACTTTCCAGAACTACTAAGAAGTAATACAGATTTAAATAGACATAGATTACCATAACTAGGTAACCTAATCATTCATAATTTAACGATCCAAGTGAAATGTGTTGAAGTTGAGATAAAGTATTCCAGGCAGAATATTCATACTACTAATAAATTAGTCAACAAACAGAACTATACGTGTCAACGGCAACGTAGAGGAAATAATGGAGATATTCTTCGCCACCCCTCTAAATATATGAAAAAAAATAAGAACTAACTCTGATTAACTCCATCCAAAGATCCGGTTCGTGCAACAGTCATTGTGCCTATTGAATCGTTTTTAATGGGTCGATGAGAGAAACACTTCAGTAGATTTCTTGTCAAACTACCAGATCTCTTCTTCTTATTGACATCTAATCAAACCAATCAAAACAAACATAATCAACCTGAGATTAATTGAAATTTTGACAAATAACAGGTGATTTTTAGTAACCGAACTAAATGTATGGATATAAATATGACCAAATATATCGCCAAGAAGAGCTCATATAATTTAGCTTTTTGTTGAACAAAAGGGTAGAATCTAGCTAATAAGAGTGACCACAATAACAATTTCTGAACTCATATTTTCACGATGACTTTCGCTGTTATCTAATTGGGTCTTATTACTTTTAGTTTTCTAGTCTTTCGTCCCAAAGACATTTCAAACTACTACATAAACAGAATTGTTTTATTTCAATCTTAACTCATCAAAATTATTTACCTGAGTTACAAATCTTCACCATCTTATTTACACCAAATTTCTGCATACAAAAGGATAAAGCTATCAATCTGGCTTTATCATGATGACTTCAACTTCCAGAGTTTGTTAGGTGATATTTTTTTCACAGACGCAATTAGCTTTTTATTTCTTCCTTTTCATTTGAGCTTTACTCAGTCATATTTTTAAGTGTTACATAACCTATTACATGAATCTTCCACTTGTAAAAACCCTGTTTCCATACACTTCTTGGTGCCCCCTTACACGTGAATAAGTGTATGAAAAATACAAGTTTTGAATTATTCCATTGTTTACATTCTTGACTAAATCTTAAACAGACTTTGTCGGTATATGTGGATTATTTCGATATAGACATTTCGTCACAATTTTTAAAGGATTAAATGTCAACAACGAAATAACTTGAACTAATTATGATATAAACATTATACCCGTTATGCAAATTAGTGGCAATCTGGACTTAGTATCTTAGTAGATAACATGTTGATTTTTTGAAGCAAAAGATACTGGGTACGAGTCATAATATGAATATCAACACTGGGATGAAAGTATACCAAGTTGACAATTGTCAAATGGGACGAGGCGTGCATTGTGGATTCCACTGCTAGCTACAATTCATCCATTATGAACAATGATTTTAATCCATCCACAGACATTGTTTTCTATCAATCCACATCTACATGTCACATTCAACCTCAATCAGAACTTTTCTCATATGAAGTATGTACACTTGTTTTGATTTTTAAACGATTAATATCACTGTTTCTTTGTTAAAAGCATTTGAACGGAACCAACATTCATATTATTAATATGGATGGGATATGATTGTTGTTCTTACGTATAAAGGGAAGGTATCCATTCAAAAAGGTGTGAGCGAAAGAGCGAGTAGAAAACGGCTCACTGCCAAAATAACGACCTAAGGATATCTAAAAAAACTTATTCTGTTGGGAATCCAACATATACAAACATACCTTTAAGGTGATTACCCCCTAGCTATTCGAAATAGACATGTGAGATAAAATGACTGGGGTAACAAGAATAAAAAACTTGTCACCACATTTGGAAAATTAAAGTATTTGTTGAAAGTAGACTCTCTATTAGACGTTTAAAAAACTACAATTACAATTGGCCGTAGAGAACAAGTCGAATGGGTTTCACATCCACAAAAGTTTTATATCCCGTTTCACTGTTCACCATTATTAAAAAATTACCTATTTTATGGTCACCCTTTTGCTGACGCACTTATTAGTGTGAACCTAGAGGGAAAACCAACAACAGTATAGAATCAATAAACCTACAGAGTTAACATTATCATCATTGTTATTATTATGTCATACAACTTACCAGAACCAGTTGAATTAGATACAATAGGCATATCCATAGGTGTACTATTCCTTATATTCATATCAAGAGAATTATTTCTTAATGTTTCACTGCTATTTGAACTGATACCAGCATCCATAGACACATTATTATAAGTGGTAGTTGTAGTACCATTATTGTTATTATTTGTAGTAAAACCATTGTTACCAATATCCCAGGGGGATTGATTTATTATTCCTGAATTCGAAACACATGATAATGTGTTACTGTCTTTGGCGTTGTTAATAGTAGTAGTGTGTGGATAAGGTGTTGAACCAATTACAGTGACTTTACCAACAAAATTCACACGCTTTAATCGTGTTTTCTGACGTCTTTCGATACGTTGACAACTAGGAATTATTCCAAGTCCATTAGTAGATGAGAGTAATGTAGATGTTTGTGTATTACTATTAATAGTATTATTATTAGTATTATCTGTTGTTGAATGCATCGAATTTCCATGAGTAGCATTTTCAAAATCGGATACCAAAGAAATTCGTTTGGCTTGCCACCATTCACGATCACTAGCATTCACAACGTGTAAAATATCACCATGTTGAAACGGTAAACCCTGTTTATTTTTACAAAACACAAGCAACAACGACATGTAATTGAATGTATATCACCGAGTTATAATAAGAAAACAATAGTTTAAGAGTATATATATAAAAAGAATGAAAGATCAGACCATGATAGTACTGTTATGCTATTTTATAGTGGGAATCCCTCTACAGGTGTATTTCAACATATTTAAGACTCACTAATCCAGTTCACCTGTACCATTATGTCAGCTTTCCAATCAAGAATGTAAACCAATACCCCCTAAACAGAAGCAGTACTAACTCATGATGACCACTTAGAGTACAGTGGTTATCGGTTTTAATATTGTCGATCAGCTTGCTGAATTGACCTGGTACATGAGTTTTTTCTCAGTGGATGTTCTCACAGAACTGCTGTCAGATACACGTAAAAATGACAGTTTGGAAAATAACGTTATGGAAATTTTTTAACAATAACTATACTGATTTATACAAGCGACGTAAACGATATATTACTATAGTTGAAGCAGACATTAATTAAGCAGGTTTGCTTGCTAATAGTCATCAGTATACCATAATTAGAAAAGTGATTCTTTTTACTACTGAACATTTTCCACACTAACAAATCTACAACCTGAACATATCAAGAAAAAGTTTGATTGTGAAAAGGATGAGCTCTAATGTTTATAGATGTCATATGGGTGGTTTTCAATTCCTGATTGAGTACATCATAGAAGAATACTATTTTCTTGAGAGATCTGACAGTAAAAAATGATCATTGACTAATCGAAATAAGATATTAACTCCATATTTAAATACCTGAGTCAGGATGACAAAAGTATATATACCAATGATTTGTGTACCTAATTATTCGGTCATGTCAATTACGACTTCCTACTTATTCATTAGTTTACTCATTTGATAGCTGGTACGACAAATGTACGGGGAGTGTGTATCTCAAATAGAAGTCGCGAATGGTAACAGTTACTTCCATTACACATAGTCGGATAAAGGGATTTTAAAAAGTTTAACAAATTAAAAATCATCCAGTTCAATGTACCACTATAAGCTTGTTTATTAATATATTACTTAACAACCAAACAGTAGTTCAAACTTTGGAACTTGATTCATAGGTGAAGTTAACATCCTGTATACTTTTGGAATTCACTTTTTACTTACATTCATTGTACAATGGATATATATATATATATATATATATATATATATATATATATATATATATAATACTTTCCTATATATAAAAGTGAATATGTATTATCGATGTATTCTAAATTCTCACTATTGTACATTATACGAATCCGGTAACACAATTATAGATTAGACAATGATTCGTGGTTTAAGTCAGGATTAGATTACAATGTTACATATTTGTCCGCGTGTTACTTATACTATGTATCAAACCAACAATACGGTATACACACAATATCTCAAAAATAAAAGTGTGTATCGAAATAGCTACACATACCAATTCTAAGTATATTCATCCACTAATTGGACTATATAACAATGTGAACTATTTTTTTTAAGTTTGATTATGTATTGTACCAAACTGTGAGATCCAGCTAATTACCATAAGTCAGGATTAATTAGGAGCCATAAAATATAGCTTTTCGTGATAAAATTACTCAATTTACAAACGTCATAAAATTAGAGATTCGACTATCACTTAATCCACTTTGACAGGATTCAGGCGATCGGGATAACATTATGGTATCTGCCACTTATGTCTGTCGATATAAGTAGTATATGACACCAACCAAAAGTGAAAAACCTAGCAGCAGAAGGCTAAGAAGATCTAGTTGAAGAGAATAGAAGGGAAAATTGAAAGGAATTGTCAACTGAAAGAATCAAACAGAATATGAAGGACAAATAATGAAAATTTGCAAATGAAGTGTTCGGTGTACAATTCTCATATTTTACCAAAAGATTCTGTAATATTGTGTTCAAACACAATCAGTTGTTTTCATTTGTTTTCTTGCTCACAACAACACCGCTAGCTTTCACAAACAACTAAAGTACAACTCAAAACCAAGTACATAAACCGGTACTAAAAAAATGATTTAAATTTAAATTACATTTGAATAGTCCCTACATCATACAATAAAACTTTATTTAAGCTGGTTTGTGTAGCTTTGTACAAGTTTAAGTTAGTTTCGTTAACGACTGGTATAAAATGAAAGATTATTGAAAACCACTGCAAAACTGAAAAAATATTATACCCAAGTTTATAGATCCTCAACAGCTGGCGTCCACAACCTTAAACTGAGGCAAGACTGTAAATTTACTGCTGAGGGACGAGGTCACATGTATACCACAGATATCGTATTTGTCACTAGACCCGCTGTCTTTAGTGTTAATCTCCATATGATCGTGAGTGTGGGTTGTTGAAAATTCCCGAATCGAGACCAAGTACCTTTTTCGTTGTCCCTAGCTCTAAAATAGTTCACCAACTAATGCCAATTTCTGATAAAAGAAACTATCATTAATTTACTTAAATGTTGTTTTCATGCGATTTCTGTTGCGAATCCTTGATAAGGATTTTCTTTCTAAATCAACAAATGGATTCACTAAACATCACAGCAATAAACGATTTGTCAAATATTTCATGATAATAATAATACTTATTATTATTATTATAGTAATCATTGTTATGGTGGATATCGTGCTAATGACTTACAGATTAGTAAATAATGTTACATGTGGAGCGAGCACTTAGTGTTTGGGGCCTTGAATCCCTTGGTCCTGAAACTTTTTGAGGTATGTTCTAGGTGCTTAATAGACTATCAGCCAAGGATTAAATGTGTTCCTCGAATTCTAAGACAATACTTACCATAATTACTATCACAGTATTAAACGTAAATGAAAACTAGTGTTTGATCAACTATCAATATTTCCGTCCCCACATTAAAATTATTTTGGATTGAAGACAGTTATGTACTACGGACCAAAAACAGTCGAAGATTCAATGGCGCCGGATATCAGTTTTGTTAAGTTATAGGACTTTAGTGAAGTGTCCACTCATAACTTCCAATATAACTTTCTCGATGTGATGACCAACTTGAACATTTCAATGATCCGATGAAGTTATATTGGCTAGATCACTCGTTGCTTCAGATGTTACTATGATAAAAACAAATGACTGGGTAGTGGTAAGGCCAAAGGCATAAGAATTAACATCCGACAGAAAAGTCTCACTGGCAACTGGATACGGATGAAAAGCCAGTAAACTGAATCCCGCAGGCAACCATGATCTACAGTGATCAGTACAAGGGGGCACCAAAATATAAATGCGGCACACAATTTAGTTACCATTCAAGTTGTGTGTGAGCTCGGTTACTTCACGGGTGCCAAACACGAAAGAGATGACTTTCTTAGGGAGCCACACCCCGAGCCTTTGACCGAGAGGTCTAATCTACAAGACAGTGGATCAACGTTAGGAGATACGAACTCATGATAGCTGGTTACCAAGATTAGGTTCACACACCATTTGTTCCTTCAGGATCCTGGTGGCCCATGTCACCATTAGTTTGGAATCAGGGTTTTTCAACCTCTCTAGGTGGATCCTCCGTACTCACCAACTTCGTAAAAGCCCTGACCATTCCCTTTTCGTCTTCTCAATGTTGCAAATAACATCCCGGTCGCGAGAAGGTAATGAGTAGAACTTCTCTGGCAATGGCTATATATGAGTTGCCATATGGGAATATTTTGGGAGGAAAGTACGCTCCCCACCCTTGGTCGTACCAGGCCTTCGGGGGCTGCAGTGGTCCTCACTTCCCAAAATGGAAGAAAGGGTGAGAACAGATAGGTCCCCAAAAATAGCACTTTTCACCATGTCCTACAGAAATAGGTGGTAATACAACAACTTCTGATTACAAGTTTGAGCATTATCTCTCAACGACTAATTATTAGCCTACATAGGCTAAGAATGAAATAGCTAAACTTCATGGCATAATCCTAGTGTAATATATGTATCATACTATACCCTAGAACTCTTTACCGAATAAAATTCACGCTAGGATACAATATTTCAATTAAATATCTATAGCAAAGGGTAATTTTACATCAAACAGTATCAAGTTTCTATAAATTCTACATTCTATGATTAGAAGGAACAGAATATCCTACTCTGGTTATGCGATAATTTATTTTCCAAAGACTGAACAACATGACTCAGGCATATGAGCATTACATTTTTAATCTTACCTTCACAATATTTAAAGACATAATTAGTATACTTGAAGACTACCACAAAATAACTAAAACAACACCTCATTAATCTCTCTAAAGTATTTTCTACGTTCTTGATACACAAATGCATAGTGAAGTCTTATTTTCTATTGCCCTTTTTACACTTACTTCTCGAAACTAATACTAGTAAACCAAGACGAAATAATGGAAATTAATCACCTCATTTTTTTCTGGCTAGCGTTTTTTAGCGAGTTAGTTTTTCTACGGGATGGGGTCGCTAACCCCATGCCCAATCCTCCTCCTTTACCCGGGCTTGGGACCGGCAGTAACTCGAGAAGAGCTACAGGAATCTGGGAGGGAAGCGAAAAAGAGGAAGGCCAAAGAACACATTACGCCGGAAAATAAAAGCAGATATGAAAAGGATGAATAACAACTGGAACAAACTGAAAGGATTGCCCAGGACAGGGTTGGATGGAGAATGCTGGTGAGGGGCCTATGCTCCTCGACGAGGGGTAACAGGCCTAAGTAAGTAAGTAAGTAATCACCTCATTTATACCACAGAAGAGGCACATTTAAATATCCAGTTTAACGAAACAGAGTCTATCTATCCAAAAGAGGAAACCATAATTGATGAAGTAATAATAGTAATAATCTCTCTAAAAACCGTCTTATTGTTAATAATGAGAAAATAAAATAAGGAAATGAAAAGTTTTCTTTTGTAGTAATCATGTGATTTTTTACAGCAGAAAACAGAAATGTAGTTTATACATGAAAAGAGAAGTGATAAATAAACAAAACATATGACATTTCCATCAGTGATAAT